CTGCAGTCATCTTTTTATTCATTCTTGCCTTACAAAGCCTCCACCAGCCCTGTGCCCTTGCTGGTAAAATGTCAAGTAATCCTGAAGCTTGTGGTTATTGGGTCTGGGTCGTCCATTGTTGCCATACTTTTGTCTCTATGAGTTTCTCCTCCTGCTTCTCCTGGACCTGAGCTACCTGTAATATTGCAGTCTGTGGGCCTTGCTGCTCTCTCAAACTTCAGCCTCATGCTTTCATCTGTGGTTTGCTACTGGGGCAATTACACTTTACCCTTTCCCCTATGCAGAAAATTGATAAAAATTATAAATGGAATAGTCAAAAGTGCTACAAGTTTCTCCTGCCTATGCACCTTAGTCCTTTAGAGCCTTTACAGGATTGATCATTTTGCCATTACTTCATCAAGGGAAACAGACGTGTTCCTCTAAAGCCTTCCTTGACAACTTTCTGTGTTCTCCTCCTTAATGGGTTGAGTGCATTTCTGTCCCAAAGTGTGGTCCTGCAACTGTACCACCCCTTTTGCTGCCTTTTTTCAACCTTCTCTCAGAGGTCCTTTCTTATCATAGTACAGAAACAAAACACTTGGACTGTTTTGTCTTCTTGCTTCTTGTCTTCATTCCCGTCAGCCAAAGGAGCTAGATGCTCCTCCATCCTCCTCCAGGGACTACTATATATGGCAAATCATTCTTAATCTCATCATAAGATTTCAAATTCCATCTAAATTAAGTTAAAAGGCATGATTAGGTTTGATGTCTGCAAGTTGTTTCTCTTGTAAACATTGTGACAGAAGTTGATTGAATTAAATAAAAACATCACCCAGAGTTTAATTGCTGTCTTAGGGAAAGAATTATCACAGTAGTATCCATGTGTACATGTATAAACAGACACATATATATGTATTATGTATACATTGCAACCTAATCTTCGGTCTCTTTTCTTTGCTCAGCTAATTCAGCATATTCCTGTCTATGTGTTTAGGAGATCTAGCTGCACATAACTGCAATCCTTCTCACTCCTAGATAACCAGGAGGAATCACCTCATCAAGGAAATTAACATTCCTGTTGTGTTTTGTGAAGTACATTTTAGCTGGACAGTTGTTCCAAACCCACATTTTTAATGTGTCAAATATACCCAACTAATACATATTTGTATATTTATCCTCATTTCAGCTGGAATAGAATTAATTTTCTTCCTAGTAGCTGGTACAGTGCTGTGTTTTGGACATAGTAGGGGATTGTTCTCATGTTGATAACACACTGGTGGTTTCAGTTGTTGCTGTGCAGTGCTCACCCTAAGTCAAGACCAGGACTTTTCAGTTTCCTGGTCTCTGCCAGTGAGCAGGTGCACAAGAAGCCGTGAGGGAGCACATCCAGAACAGCTGATCTGAACTGGGCAAAGGGATATTCCACACAACAGAACATCATGCCCAGCATATCAACTGGGAGCACTTGGCTGGGAGGGCCCAAGCGCTGCTGGGGGCCTGACTGGGCATCAGTCAGCGGGTGGCGAGCAATGGTATTGTGAAACACTTGAGGCTTTTAGGGTTTTATTTCTGTCTCTCTTTTTGTTGTCTCCCTTTCCAGTACAATTTTTTTTCCCAATTATTAAATGGATCTTATCTCAACACAGGGGTTTTTCCTTCTTTCCAACTCTACTCCCCATTCAGTGGGAGGTGGGGGGTGTGTGAGCAGCTGAGTGGTTCTTAGTTGTCAGCTGGGGTTAAAACACAACACTGTGTTTCTGCTGCTCCTGCAGCAGGGGTTTTCACACACCTACAATTGTGGAGCTAGTGAAGCCAATTATTTCTCCCAAGTCTTTTCACAAAAACTATAAATTCTACTAGGCTGTTGGGAACAAAAGTCTCAGACAGAAATGCATAGCCTCTCAGAAGCAATTTGGAACTTTACTGAATTATCTGCAATAATAATCCATGTATCTATAAGTTTTTCAAATGACAGTTTCAGACCATGGTAAACAAGAATCCAGCTTAAAAAAAAATAAAATCAAGATTCATTCTAGATCAGTCACTTTTAAATCTAAACCCCCATAAATTAATTTAACATTGACTGTGCCATTTGGGTTTTGTTAATTTTTTGAGTGTTCAGTAGCCTTGCATTACCTATCTTTAATCATGCACCTTTAATTCAAGTCTAAATTCCCTACTCCTGAATCCATACTTTTCTATACATCAGTTTACAGACTGATGGGAATTAATGTTGTTTTTTGCTTACCTCAATCATGTAATGATAGGAGAAATTTGCAGCTTTACATATGTCAGGAAAGTGTGGACTGGATACTCAGGAAATTGTTCATGGTTTTCCCAAGATTTTAGAATTATTTTTTTTACTTTGAAGTTTCTCTCCTTACTCTCACTGTTGCTCTTCTTATAACACAACTTCAGTCTTAACTTTTGACCTGTATAAGGAAACCTACACTTCACTATGGGGATTTTAAAGCATTTAAAACTTTTATCAAACTCAAAACACAGAGGAAATTATTTTCCTGTTTGTTCATGATTTGCTAGCTTGGTTGGTTAAAGCATGATACTAATAATGCCAAGGTTGTGGGTTCAATCCCTGTATGGGCCTTTCACTTAAGAACTGGACTCGATCATGCTTGTGGGTCTCTTCCAACTCAGAATATTCTGCTATTCTGTAACAATGTAATTCCCCATACCTCATTCTGATAAAAGAAATCAAAACTATTTCACCTCAGCATCACACATATGTACCTGAAGATACAGTGTGCATGCATGTGTCCTTATTATGTGTATGACAATGATAAAAAATATATTAAATAAATTAGGAACTTTATTAATTGAGGAATTTAATTTCTTTTCAAAATGGAAAACCTGTTTTTGTTTCTTGGGTACACAGAAAATGAACTAACTGATTATGCTTAAATATGCTATTGGGGTAGGATGACCCTTATACATACTGTTTTTGTAAATCTGTTCAGGCAAGTAAACTGGAGATCTCCTGTAACCTATGGATAACTATTTCCACATCACTGTGTTTTGTTTGTTTCTGCAGCTATCTGCACAAGAACAAATACCTGGAAGTTATCAATGATGATGCATTTCTGGGAGTGCACAGTGGACCAACTCTTCTGTAAGTAGAAGAAAATGAAGTAGAGAAATCTTTAAAAATAATACTATTTTAGGTTGCACTTTCTTTCCAACCATTAGGAGCAGAGCAGCAGGGATGGGAATAGCATGTTTACAAAAATAATACCAGCAATAGAAGCTGTGCTTTAGGGAACTGATTTATAAAATGCTTGTATCTTACAGTACCTATACCGTTCCTACAAATTTTTCTTTTGAAAGATTCTGTACTACAATCTGTTTTACAACTGTACAACTGTAATATAAAATAAGGACCCTAGTAGCACACATGTAAAGGAAACTGAAAGAGATGAAAAAATAATTTTAGACAGAAAAATACTTACTCCTGGTGCTGTCTTTTCTTCTTTCTCATGTAATTCGCTTCCAGTCTGATTTTATAGTTCTCTAAAGAACTTTTCACTAAAATTAGTAATCATAATTCAGAATGAAAATAAAAGCTTTAAAGAAGAACTTCTTGAAGAATCATGTTCCCTGGCTCAAATCATGTAGTATGTAATGTAGAGCACACGACTGATCACAAGGAGAACTGAAATACTGAAAGAGGGACTTCCTCCTCCACTGCAAAACCAGATGGTGCTGGTAGTGCTCAGTCCATATAAGAATAACTTTTACTTTCTGCTCTTCAGGAAAATAGCATATTCATGGCAGAATAACAGTGCATTGTTCACAGAAGGATCCTAGCAGCTAGCTACAATAACAAAAGGTGCAAAAGATATTATTTTTCTTCCAGAATCTTTCCAACTCTAGAAAATCAGGCTGGCTACCAGCAACATAGGAAACTACAGCAGAAGTTGTACTGATCATAATCAATTTATGCTAAGAAGAATTGTGTCTATGCTGTGCAAAATTGCAACAGATCTTTGATGGCAAGGTCATCATCACACCTCTGGTTCTCTCTGCTCCCCATGTCTCAAGTTAGATGCATTCCAAGGTCTGTGTGCGAATAGTAGCCTGTCTTCTGCTTCAGTCACCTAAATTACATTGTCTTCTGGGGTGAAGAGGAAGATCTGGCTGCAAGCCCACCTTTCAGGACCACATCCTTCCTCAATACCTTTACCACAAGGTCCACTGAAGTTATTAGCAGAGTCCTTGGAAACATGAGACCAGTTCTGGGAAATACCAGGTTTTCCTTTCACTGGTGTGAGGGGAGAGAGAGTCATATGTCTGAAGCAAATACCTCAAATAATTGGACATTAGAGGGGCAGTCCATAATAATCATAGAATCATAGAATCTTTAAGGTTAAATGAGACCTTTAAGATCATCTAGTCAAACCATCAACCCAGCACTACCACTGTAACCCCCAAACCACTAGGGAAGGGGGTCCAGAGGGAGGGAGGAAACTAGTCCAGACCTCTTCATTTGGAGCTGCAAAATCCTTGGGATGCAGATGTGTATGAGAAGAATAGGTAAAGGCAGTAACACACAGCACTGTGTCCCTCAGGATACTGTCAAACATAAACATGCCTTTTTGTTTTTTCCTATCACCGACTCCCCTGAGAGATAAACCTCAGTTGTGTCATGAGTGGTCAGATCCTGAGACAGCAGAGAGATGGTAGTATTTTCTGGCCATGTCTTAAAAGTTAGACATTTTGTATAAGAAAAGCACAGTCAAAGCCCTAGTTCAACATCAGGAGAAGAACTGGCCATCTAGGCAGAGCAAAAGAGTGTGTTCAGGAAGCAGAAGGCAACAAATCAAGAGGGAAAGCTGAGAAAGCTCACAAAGGGGCTGTTCAACTGCCTGTCTGTGGTGGCTGTTGCTCCTCTTCCTCTCTGCTAGTTGCATCACCTTCATTTCCACTGCTTCTGCTTTCAGAAGGGGTCAGGCTACCTACCCCTGAACTAGAATGGCCATGGTCAGAGAACTGTGATAGAGGCTGGGTTGGTGACATGGCAGCCTTTTCTTTATTAGTATTTGGATAATAAGGCATTTTTCTGAATATTGCAGATGGCACCTTTCTCATTTTGTTCCTGGCCAGAAAGACATTTTTCAGTTGATAGAACTTTACCTGGATTTCCATTACATATTTCCATTACGATATTACGTGGTCACAATAAATACAGTCTCCAAGCAAGGTGCACTCTTCTGTTATATTTGGGGTGTCATACAGCTCCCAAACATAGCACTGCACATCTTTCCTCTGAGGCTACAGGTGGCACAATGGGTTGAAAAGCTGTTTCCTAGGGATGGGAGAAGACAAAATATTGAGGATCTTAAGTCAAAGGGAGCTGAGAGCTTGCAGCAGCACAGATTTTTGACTCTTTTGACTCCAACTTTGGTTACTGTGGGTATTTAAAGCACCAGTGTTGTTACTGTTATGCTAGACATGCGAACAAGTTAAGATGCTGCTAAGAGTTGTGGGTTAATCATATGCAATAATAACACTGCCAGGCAAGCTCCCTCTGCAAGGGCTAACTTTGAGATGTGTGAGCCACATGATACCTCTTGGTTTAGGGGCTAGAGATGACTTCCTAGGATATGCATATTGAACTGTAAAGAATTTCCCTCTTATTCTGTGTTTTCAAGTTAGATCTCTCAAATGACTTGAATTTTTTCTAATCTTCTACAATTATTGTGCTATCCTAGCTACCACTGATCCTCAGTCTCAGGATGTTTTATAACAGCCAGCTATCCATCTCCTATTTGAATGATATATCTCCATGGCTAATAAGAGTTCTAGTAGCACTTACAACTAAAGAGAAATAGTGTCATTACAGAGAGAGATATTGCTTTTCAAAGGCAGAAAGCAAAAAATGGCACATAAGCATAGCAAATCAAAAGTGATTTAAAAAGCCAGAGTATTTCACATCATGGTACTTTGATATGCTAGTCCTAAGCTAAAGATTTTAATACGGTGTCACAGTTTAACCCTGGCCTGAATCTTACGTCCACACAGCTGCTGACTCACCCCTGCACCCAGCTGGACTGGGGAGAGAACTGGAAGGGTAAAAGTGAGAAAACTCATGAGTTGAGATAATTACAGTTTAATAATTAAAAAAACCCCACATTGAACCCACCTACACACACAAAAAAACCAAAACACAAACCAGAGGGGGAAGAAAGCAAACCAAACCCAAGAATAACAAGTGATGCAACAAAACCAATTGCTCACCACCAGCCTATTGCTGCCCAGCCAGCCCCCAAGCAATAGCAGTCCTGGCAAACTTCCACCCAGTTTTTATTGCTGAGCATGATGTGATAAGGTCTGGAATATCCCTTCATCAGTTGGGGTCAGCTGTCCTGGCTGTGTCCCCTCCCAAATTCTTGTGCACCCTCAGCCTCTTCGCTGGTCAGATGGTGTGAGGAGTAGAAAATGCCTTGGCTCAGTGCAAGCACTGCCCAGTGGTAGCTGAAACATCCCTGTATTATCAACACAATTTGCACTCACAAATCAAAAACATAGCCTCATACTAGCTGCTGTGAAGAAATTTATGCCAGTCAAACCCAAAACTGAGTGGAAATCTAATATTTATTGTTGTGTCACATCAATGGCCACTAATATCTCCCACAGGAAACAGAAATGTTCTTGGAATTAGTGCCTTAGTATACACCCTGCACTATACCATCATGATCAATATTAACGAGTCATTTACAGAGAGACCAGAGATTTGTTAACTTGCATAACAGTCTGAGAAGTCTGACCAATACAGCCTGTCCATATTCCTTGGGCAGCGTAAACAGCTTGGCTTATTATAAGAAATAATTTGTTAAGTCATTTTTGCTTCAGGCACTTAGCTGTTGTTAGCTGGCCATTGGATACTCCTCGAAAAGAAAGTTCTACTTTCAAAACTGTTTTGCCTTGAAATTTAACTCTATGGAAAATTATTGTGAGAATATTGCTTTTTTATTGGAGCAATGAATGGCACTGCTTATAATGGGAGCAGTCTGCAGAAAAAAAACTAAAAAAAAAGAAAAAAAAGAAAAAAAGGAACATTTACGGATCTCAAAAGAGAAACTCTGTCTTGCCTCTCCTAGCAAGCTGGAAGAACTAATTGTCTGGAGTTCCCTTTATGCACTCTTGAATTTAGATAAGAATTTATGGTTGATGGAACATCTGCCCCACAGATGGTGCTTTTTTCTGATCAGAATTTCAGCAGCAACAGCAACTTAAAGGCTGAAAACAGACCATGGATCCACCCTAATGGGGTAATATTCCATTTGACCTTAAAGAAAACCAATGAGAAAGATTTAACTACAAAGAATTGTGCCTGTCTATATCTTTGTTGTGTTAGTTTGGTCATGCTTTCAGACCCCCTAATTAGATGTTTTATTTAAGTAGATATTGAAAAGTTAGGTAATTTTTTTTTTTTCAAATTTTCAGGTTTTCCCTGCAAAGGAAGCATAGTCAGTAATTCTGGTTCCTTTGTCACTGATGTATACCCAGATGTATACAGCATCTTCATAGATGTATACACAGATTGCTTCCTTTAGAAAACTATTTTAACAGGATAATAACAGTACATTGCTCTTCATCTGAAAATGAAATCTTGGCAAGGATGCAGCAATTCAGCAGACCTGATTTACTAAATGCAATGAGAGCTGCATGAGAGCTTTTGCCCAGAGCAAAAGTTCAATAGATTACAACAAAAATACAGTCGGGCTCATTAGTCAATTAGCTTTTACAAAACACACAGTCCAAACTCAAAACATTACAGTCACACAAGATATATATGATTAGTTAATTTTCTGCAGAATGCAGAATTGCGCTTTAAAGCATCATTTCCCAATCTAAGAATGGGTCCTACCTCAGGAGATTCTGTTGTTCCTGCCACTGGGCACAAGCAAGTCTTCAAGCAACAGGAGCACTCTGCAATCTGCTAATTAAACAATGCAAATTTGTAGATTTAAAAAAACCTTTCAGTAGAGAATAAAATAATATCTATAGTCTAAGCCCATCTATTATATATTTATTATATATTTTATGCTTTTTTAACTATTGTAATACTCAGAAATTGGTATATGATTAGGCAAAAATTCTCAATTGTACTATGATGCAATCAGTCTCTTTTTCTTAATTATCTGTCTTTTAAATAATCAGTACTACTTGATTTCATACTACAACTGCAGCTTACAGCAATGAAAAGGATTGTTGGCAAAAGCTATTATCTCTTATATCTCCTCTGACTTCATAAAGTCAACAAAGAATTAGACCAAAAAAATAATAACTCGGGAAAAAAGAAATAAAATTTGAGCAACTAAATATCTGTTTAACACTTCTATAATATACAGTTGGTTCAGAAAACAACATCTCTGAAATCAGAAGCTGTATTTTATTCCCATGTTTATCTGAAGCTCTCTACAGTCTCTTTAACATTTAATCCAATGTGTAGATTTCATATAAGATAAGGAACAGCCTAGAAGTGTGATTTATACACTACATGAGATTTATAAGAAAACGTGAGGACAAAACAAACCAGCTATCAAGCCAATGTTAAAAGTGGTTGAGAGCACTTTGGTTACTGTTACGCCTCACAGTGTAGAGCTCTAGCTGCTGCAGACAGACCACTTCCAGTACCTGAGTTGAGCTCTAGACCATGGCTATTTAAAAGCTAAAGTCTGGTCTGGATCTAGGCTAGAAGTGAATGTTGCTTGCCTCCACCATAATCCTGAACATTTGACACCTTCCACAAGGAGTGTGGTTGCCCAGTTTCAGTAATCAGCCTTGTGGGCATTTGTCAAAGGCCCTGTAGAAGTCCCAGGAGACTCTGAGCAGATCTTAGGCACAACACTCAGAGCAGTTTGCAAGGCAGGACTTATTTTTACAAAAGCCCTTTACATGCTGACTTTTCCCAGGTATGTGATATTAGCTGGTGGCTCATTTGCTGCCTTTCTGCAGGGGAGCTAAGTTGGAGGTTGCACAAGAGAATGGGCAAGAGGTCTGATGGACTTGTCAAGAGGATTTGTCTCAAACTGAAGTGACTATAAAAGAGGCTAGGCAGGAAATTGTGATAATGAATGATAATGAGTAACAAGGACTGGATGGTTTTCACCAGAAAAGTTCTGAAGCAGCTGAAGGAGGAAGTAGTTGAATTACAGGATCACAGAATTGTTAGGGTTGGAAGGGATGTCTGGAGATCATCAAGTCCAACCTCTTCACAATATAACTCTTCTGTGCAATGTAAGCATTGCTGTGTTTAAACAACATCTTAGTTATCAATATTATTAGATATTAACGAGACTGACCTAACTGCAGTCAGTTCCCATTTTCCTGAGCAGACCAAAATCTGGACTGATCTTGACTGACTGGGACTGACCATACTTGACTGATCAGGACTTGGTAACCAGTGAAAGGATGAGAGGAAATGGCCTCAAGTTGCTCCAGGGGAGGTTTAGATTGGATATTAGGAAAAAAAAATTCACAGAAAGAGTTGGAAGTGTTCAAAAAACATGTGCATATGGCAGTTGATGGCATGGTTTAATGGTGAACATGGTGGTGGTGCTAGATTGATGGTTGGACTTGATCATCTTAAAGGTCTTCTGGAACCTTAATGATTCTATGATTCTATACAATGGCACACTACAAAGAAATCTTCTAGGAAAATGTGTCTTCTATAACAATGCAGACACAGATACTATAGCACTGGCAAACTCCAGCTACTCGGATTCACATAGCTCTGAAGATGGTTAATTTATAAACCTTATCAATCCCATGCTTTCCAGTTTGAAGACATCTGCTGTGCTGCTTGAAGTAGATTGTGAATCTCAATAGAAAATCATCAAGACTAGATTTGTAAGGTAAAAAAATTCCTGACAATCCCACACTTTCCTCTTGGTCAGCTGACATACACTTCATCACTGAGTGTGGGCCTAGGTAGAGTAACATTATAAGAAGTTATCTTCCACTGGGAGACAAATTATCACCAGACTCCCAGGAGGCTTTTCGATTTGCAATAGAGTGGTACAGAGAGGTTGCAAGACTTTTTGGTGGCAGCCACCATACCAGCAGTTTAGAGACTTCCTAAACTAGGAATTTTGGAAACTTCCAAACTTCTGAGCCATTGTGCTTAATAAGGTCCATGGATGGGACCAACTATCTATTGTTAGCTCTGCAATAGGATTAATCCTAAATCAACAAGAACTTCAGCGCAGCTATGCCTGTACCTTTTACCCAAGCTCCCCAGTATAAAACAAGCAGAGTGCTTGAAAACACCACCTGCAATACCTAACTGCTTAAATACAAACCCTATGCACATACACAAAAGACTTCAAAGGATTCAGTAAGATAGAACAGAAATTACATAATCTTATTACTAATTCTTCCAAACCCTTTCTTCTCACCGAACAGATCTTTCTTGATAACACTCTGAGTTGCCACAGGCTTTGTATGTTCACCTCTGCTCCCTGGGAAATTGCTTCCATCTCAGCCCTGGGCTGGCTGCTCCCTTCTGCTTGCAGCTCTCTAGAAGCTGCAGTTCCCTTCCCTGTGCATTCAGGGCCCTGGAGAAGCTCCTCTCAGCAGCTGTTTCCAAGGCAAGAGCCCTTGTCCCCTAGGGTGTTCCTCCTGACCCAGCCATTTCTGATGGGAACATTACACAACAAAACAAAAATGTATATATATTGTTCTTCTCATTAGTTTGGTTTTTTGATCTGCACAATGAACCATGGCAATGACTTTCACAATAGAATGATGCAGTTTTGTGAAAAGATTACACCGTTTTTTAAGTCTTATATTCTTAGGTCTCCCAAAACTCATCTCACAAGACTGAATCATCATTACCAATATGCATGGCACCGTAGTCTACTACTGCTTCCAGTCATAGCTCTTTCCAAGAGAAAAGTCCTTATCTGCTCCTTATTACTTCATATATAAACAACTTGCTACTTCTATCATCCTAGCTGTAGCTTTTCATACTCTAATTGTAAGTGCATATAGTATTTTTAGAACTGCATATAATATTTGTTAGTCATATTAGATTTTCAAAGTGCAATTTTTCTGTTCTATTTTCTAGTTCTTTCATGAAACTTCTTAGCATTCTTTAACATTACTGAAAGCACTGACCTGACATTTGCAGAGGACTCAAAGATCTTTCCAGAGTGCTAGCCAAATTTAACCCCATTGTCATCCTTGTACAGTTAAAATTTCTTGATCCTAAATGCACTTTACATTCATCAATATTGAATCATATCAATTATTTTACTGCTCAGTCACACAGTATTGCAGGAGCCTTCTACTTCTTTAGACAATCACCTTTAGTTTTCACTACCTTGTATGACTTTGTGTCAGAAACAAGCTTTGTTGCAGCTATTCTCATTTTCTTTCCAGACAGTTCATGAGTATTTCAGTAGTACCAGTGCTAGCCTAGACTCTGTAGACCCTGCTGCAGTGACCTGTACATTCAGATACCAATTAATTTTCCATTCTTCCTCTAGTAAGAAAAATTGTCACCTGTTCTCAGGCTTTTCCCCCACTCTTTTATCTTTTAATTAATTCAGGAGAGCCATTCCCTTTGACACATAACAGATTAGTTACCTCAACAGCCCTTGATATCTGATTTTGTAAAGGCTTTTCAGAAATCTCAATTCATTGCACAAACGGAATCACCTTTCTCCATAGCTTGTGCCAGTACATCTTCAAAGAACTCCCAAGAGTTTGTGAGGTATCACTTTGCTTCCAAAGAGTCTCAACATCTCCCATCACACAGCATTTAACCACGTTACCTACTTGCAGATAGCTGCCACCACCATGAGGACTTGATGGACACCTGTGAGAGTTGCTGAAAGGCCAGTCTTGTCTTGGTAAGATCTATTCCAAGATCTAGTTTACCAAGATGTTTTGCTCTAGAAGGAGAGTTCTATAAAATGTTTCAAAAGAGAAAAAGGATCTTAGCTCAGAAGTTAGCAGGGATCATCGTGGGAGCTTTAAATTACATTTGAAAGGCAACAGGGACATAGCCAAGCTCAGAGATAAGGTATGGGGAGAGCTATAGCAACCACCCAAGGAGCAAAGGGAGACTTAAGAGGGAATATAAGCACCCAAAGATATGACCTCAAGACAGGACATGGGGCCATCCCTTTGCACCCCTCCTGGGATATTGACACAATCAAATACTTCTTTAAAGTGCCTGTATATCAACACACACAGCGGAGCAAACAGGAGGAACCAGAGGTCTGTGTGTTGTCACAGGGCTTTGATCTCCTGATTAGAGACATGGTGGGACAGCTGGCATGACTGGAATGCTGTCATGAAGGGCTACATGCTATTTAGGAGAGACAGATCAGGAAGGCGTGGTGGTGGAGTTCCCCTCTATGTGAGGCAACACTTGGAACGTATCAAGCTCTGTCTTGGACAGATGATGGGGAAGTTGAGAGCTTATAGGTTAGGATAAAAGGGTGACATAATAAGGCTAACACTGTTGTGGGTGTTTGCTACAGGCCACCTGATCAGGAGGTGGAAGTGGATGAGGCCTTCTACAGGCAGCAGCAGAAGCAGCCTCAGGGTCACAGGCGCTGGTTCTTGTGAGGAACTTTAACTACCCTGACATCTGCTGGAGAAGTAATACAGCAAAGCACAAATAGTCCAGGAGGTTCCTGGAAAGCGTTGATGTGAACTTCCTGTCAGGTAGTGGAGGATCTCACAAGGAATGGTGTGCTGCTCAATCTTATACTAAAAAACAGGGAAGGCCTTGTTGGAGATGTGAAGGTTGGGTGCTGGCTTGGCTGCAGTGACCATGAGATTGTGGAATTCAGTATCAGGTCAGGAGGGAACATGGCAGCAAGTAAGATTACAACTGTGGACTTCAGGAGAGCCCTGGGAAGAAGAATCCCATGGGAGCAGGTTCTGTGGAGAATAGGGGTCCAAGAGAGTTGGTTAATATTC